AAAAATCTTTTCACAGTCTGTAGCTTGCTTTCTCATGTACTTAAGGATGAATTTTGATGAATAAAAGTTCTTGATTTTGATGAATAAAAGTTCAGCTCAATTTTTTATGGTTAGTGCTTTTTATTTCCTGTTCAGGTATTTTTTGTCTGCTTCAAGCCATGAAGATATTTTCCTATATTTTCTTCTGGAAGTGTATTTTAGTTTTTATATTTTGATCTATGATCTATCTAGAAGTTTTGTATATGATGTGAAGTAGAGTCAAAGTTTACTTTTTTATATGGGTATCTAATTGACTCAATACTACTTGTTGAAAAGACTATATCCTTTTCCCCACTGAGTTGTAAGTGAGGTATTATGGTAAGGTGGGTTCTGTATGTGTCTAAATTATTGTAGCTTTAGGGGTGCTTGAGTGGTTCAGTCGGTTGATCATCCAATTCTTGATTTTGGCTCAGGTCGTGATCTCAGGGTTGTGAGATCGAGCCCCCCATGGGGCTCTGTGCTGGGCATGAGCCTGCTTGGGATTCTCTCTCGTCCTCTCCCTCTGCCCCTCCCCCCACCCCGATCGTGCGCATGCACTCTCTCTTAAAAAAAAAAAAAAAAATTACTGTAGTTTGTAACACATTTTGAGAACTGATAGTAAAGTTCCTTAGCTGCATTGTTGTTCTTAAAAATTGCTATAGCTATTATAAAGCCTTTGCATTTGTATATAAATTTTAGAATCAGCTTGTCAATTTCCACACAAAATCCTGCTGGGATTTTGATTAGAACTGCATTGATCAGGGGCACCTGTGTGGCTCAGTCAGTTAAGTGTCCGACTCTTGATTTTGGCTTAGGTTATGATCTCAGGGTTGTGAGATTGGGCTCTGTGCTGGGTGTGGAGCCTGCTTAAGATTCTCTCTCTCCTTTGTCCTCTGCCCCTCCTCCCCTCCCCCGCTCACTCACTCTCTCTAAAAAAATAAAAATAAAAGATAAAAGAATTGTATTGATCCTGTAGACCAATTTGAAGAGAATTGACATCTTTACAATATTGAGTTTTCTAATTCATTAAAATAATATATCCCACCATGTTTTAGGTCTTTTAAAATTGTTCTCATCAGTGCTTTGTAGTCTTCAGTGGTGAGGTTTTGCATTAGATTTGTTCTTAAGTATTTGGTCTTTTTCAATGCTATTGACAATGGTGCTGCTTTTTTTGTATTACATTTCCACTTGTTTGTTGCTAGTACATAGAAATTTTGAACTTGTATCCAATAACCTTTCTAACCTGAGATTATAGGGAGAGGATATACGTTCAGGCAGAGTATACATGGCTCATCTTTCTAGATGTAGGCCTGTCTCCCCAGGGAGTCACTCTTTAGCAGCCACACTTGCAACCATGGCCCATCCTCTTGCTAACTCCTACTTTGTTCCTTGTACAAATCCATCCTCCAATCCTTTCCAGACGTTTGTCATAGGAGAAGTTATTTGGGCCATGTGATGCTCTACCCCTCTTATTGTTTACTTCATTTTCATGTAACTTTTATCAGTATAATATCATTAACATGTGGAAGTATAATATCATTAACATAATATCGTTTTCATGTAACTTTTATCAGTATAATATAATTAACATAACATGTTAATATCATTAACATGTAACTTTTTTTTATCAGTATATCATTAACATGTGGAAGTATAATATCACTAATATAACCTATTAGCCAGGGCAATGGTGAGTAGTGCCTGCACTACTTGGATCCAGTCCAAGAAGGTTCTTTAATTTATGGTTGAACTCTGATGCTTATTGGCTGATCTCATTCCGATGACGCCAAGAATGAAATCACTCCACAACCTCTTCCTTACTCTACTGTGCTGCTGGTTATTCTTAGTATCTCTCCTGAATTCACTGTCTTAATATATTCTATTTCTACTCGCATAACAAAGAGTACTTTCATATCCTTTGACAGAAAATCTTTTATATACATTTCTCTCTTCTAAGACAGTTGGTTTGCCTTCTCTGATCAGTACTGTCTGCCGCCCAGTAGTACTGAGGCTAAAAGCTTGCATGTTGCAAAGTCAGAAGGAAGGTCAATGTGGCTGAAATGTAGTGAGTGAAGGACAGGGTGGCATGAGATAAGATTGGAGAAGTTAGGTGGGAGCCAGATCAGGCAGGACCTCAGAGGCCTGGCCAAGGAGTTTTGATTTTATTCTAAGTGCCACTTACCACCTGACAGGTATCACAGCCAACTCCTCCTCCCAGTTAGAGTGAGAGATGAGGACCAGTGAGAACCGTGCTAGGGGTCACCCTCCTGTACACAGTGGATGGGAGACCCAGACCCTAGCCTCTCTGGGGGCAGTCAGTGCACTCACCAGACTTTAGTCTGTTTCTCTTTTGTTTCAGAGGTTGTGTTCTCATCTTACCCTGGATTTTCAACCTCAGAGGTAGGAACTGCCTATTTTATATTTGTGTCCTTAAGTTAGAACATTCATTTTAAAAAACAAAAGTAAGCTAATGAAGCTATGAGAGGCATTTATATATATAACACTGAAGAAGCCCGTTCATTGAACAGATATTTACCGAGTACCTACCATGTGCCTGGCACTGTGCTGGCCTGTGAACATACAGTGGTGGACTAGACAGTCAGATCCCTGACCTCACACAGCCCACAAGCTCGCTTTCACTGTTCTCAGATGTGTGCAGTCGGAATGGTTGCTGCCTTAAGTGATCAGACTGGCATTGAAGTGAGGCAGCCACCAAGATGGAACCTTGGGACTCCCTAGTAAGGGCCCCCAAAAGCTACACTCATCCTTGCCAAATATACCACCATCTAGGGTCTGATGCTTGGCATCACAGGTTTAGATGCTTGATTTTTGTCTGGACAGAAAATTGGTTTTTCTCTCAGGGTTAGATGCTTACTAACCAAGCTCACAAGGATTGATGCACTATTGATTTATTCATTTACAATAAGAAGTATAAGTACACGTTTAGCCAACCTGCATCCTTGAGAGGCAGCTCAGTGTACTCCCTCCCCACTGATAAAGCTGGGTGAGAAATTATATCAATTAACTATTGCCACATGACAAACCCACCCAAGAATTACAGACTTAAAACAATAGCAATTTATTATTTCTCACAATTATTTGGGCTGGTTAGGTGTTCCACTGGTTTTGCCGGGGCTCATTCATGCAGCTGGCTGGTTCGCTAGGGCCTGAGTTCATGGACAGCTGGTATGGCTTGGCATCTGTGTGGAGTCTTTTTATTGTGGACTTCTTTACAGCTTGGTGGCCTTAGGGTTCCAAGAGGGCAAGAGTGAATTGCAAGGCTCTGGAACTCAAATGGTGGCCCTTCTGCCACATTCCGTTGGTCAAAGCAAGTATTAAGTATGATAGGGCAGTACAATTCTGATGCTAGCTACCTGTAGATAGCACAGACCCCACAGGTGAAGGGCACATTTCCCAACAAGACTGCCCTCACTTCAGACACTAGCTGCAAGTTTGGGGGTCCCTAAGCTATCAGCACTTATGACAAACTGGCTATAAATATTGGAGTTCACACAACCTTCTCAGGCTCAGTAATTTACTAGAACAACTCATAGAACTCAGGAAAGCACTATCCTTATGATCACAGTTTTACTATAAAGGGTACAAATCAGAACCAGCCAAATGAAAAGATAAATAATGTGAGGTCCAGGAGGGTCCCAAATGCAGAGCTTTTGTGCCCTCTCGCTGTGGAATCTGGGTGTGTCACCCTCCCAGCACATCTGATGTATTCACCAATCAGGAAACTCACTCAAGCCTCAGGGTCCGGAGCTTTTTTTTGGAGTTTCATTACAGAGGCATGACTGACTGAACCATTGGCCATAGGATTGAACTTAATCTCTAGCCCAGAGGTCAGGCTGGCTCAAAATCCCAACTCTGTAATAGCAGGGTTGTCTTTCAGGTGTGGCCAGCCCTCATCCTGAGTCGTCTCATTAGCATAAACTTAAGTGTGAACCCAGGGCTCATGAATAACAAAGACATTCCTATCACTCAGGGAGTTCCAAGAGTTTTGGAAGCTCAATGCCAAAAACCTGGGAGAGAGACCAGACAAATTCTTTATTATACCACAGCCAGTCTACGTTTGAGGGCATAGAGACACAGACTCCACCTCTGACTGAGAGGAGCACCAAGGTCACACTGCCGAAGGGCATACATACGGCATAGAGGGGCTTGGGGGCCATTAAACAGTGGGCCACAAAAGTCAAAGAGAATTGGTAGGTTGTTCAGTGCTCAGATCCCAACGCTCTGGCATCTGAGCATGTAGACAGGGTGTTAGATGGTGGAGACTTATAGTGGCCTCTTTCTGTAAGTCAGGTGTGTATCCCTTATGCCTTCAGGGCAGGACACTCATGCCCCTGGACAGTGCTAGATACCCCTGAGCCTCACTCTCTGGCTCTTTCTTTTCTGTGCGGCAGTCTGACTTGGCCCCTTCAGGTCACACAGCCTTGTTCCAGATAGGGAATTGCACGGTGGAAGAGAATGCCTTACCAGACTGCCACCGCTTTCCACTGTGGCCTCTGGCAGATTGCATTTGGATCACCCGGAGTGGAGAGTCACAGACATGCGCAAGCACCATCACTGGTTTTTGTTTTACTCTCACCCATGACTCACCTGTCCCACTTGTGTGGGTGTATGAGTTGGACCCCAGGAGGGCACAAAATACTTGGCTCCGAGTAGGCACTCCGCTACTGTTCACTGAATGAACAAGTGAAATTTAAGTGACTCGCTCAAGATTACACAGCAATTAATGGAGCTTAGAACAGAATCTAGTTCATTTGAATCCAGTTATTAGCCCAGCATCTCACCCTGTAATTTCCTCTAGTCCCATCTAACTCAAGGAATCAGTGAGTGAACTGAGTCAGGCATGATTAACCCAGTACCTTCTATTTTCTGCTTAATTAGACATGTTGATCCTGAGGCAGGCTGGGTTGTGCTGAAAAACCATGACCCTGCAAGTGACACGGGTGCACCAGGTCACATTCAGGCCTGAAGGCCTGCTTGAAGTCATCCAGGACTTAGCTATTGATTTATCCTGGACTGAAGAGCCTCCATTGTAGGATGTTAGCTAGCCCATCAGCCCAGGTACTCAAGGCTCAGGTCGCTCGTGCTCTCCATCTCCCCACTAGGAAAAGTCCCCTTTAAAATGCAAGCACCCGCTCAGTCGGAAGAGTGTGCTGGGGGCCTTGATCTCAGGGTTGTGAGTTCAATCCCCATGCTGGGTGTGGAGATGACTTAAAAATTTAAAAATCTTTTTTAAAAAAATAAAATGCAAGCACCGTCCTTTTGCCTTTTGGAGAAATTTTAGCCCAACCGTAGAGAAGGGCCATTTCAGGATAAGCTGTAGGGCAGAAAGTGGGAGGTAGAGGCAGAGAACTTCTGATGTCTACATTACTGCTATATTATCATTTGGTATCAGAGCACTTGAAACCTGAACTTTGGGTGATGGAGAATTAGCACATCATGTGACCTCAGAGAACTTGGAACCAGAACTCTGGGCCCTTGGTAACATCTCCCATTATGACCCTAGATGTCTCTTTTGGCCGAGCCTTTCTAGAATGGTCACTTCTTTCCATTACCCTTCATAGGAAGGGTCTCTTGGTCCTTGACAGCATTCAGCTTCTTATCATCAGGACACTTTGACAATAGACGTTTTTTCCTTCTAAGGCAACCAAGGTATGTGCACTTCCTCCCATATTCGAGATTCTTCCTGTGAAGTCACTGAAGGCCAGGAACCAGACGCTGGCCCCGCCCTTTCCAGAGCTGAGGTACCTTAGCCTGGCCTACAACAAGGTGACTCTTCTGCTTCTCTTCCTATTTCTTCAGGGGCAAAGTTGGGAGGATGGGATGCAATCTGCTCTGGCCTGAAGGCCAGCCCTATAATTCCCCATTACAGATATGTGGGCTCAGGAGTTCTCAGGGTGGGGGAAGTGGAGAGAGTGCAGACCAAGGCTGGAGTCCATCCATTCAGTCACAGATATTTATTTAATACCATGTGCCAGACTCTATGCTGCATACTAGGTACACAGCTGTGCAAAGCAAGATTGGGCCTCTTGCTTTTTGGAGCTTGTCACCCCTAGGGAAGACTGGTACAAGACAAGTGGTCTCAATATAAGCATGCCTAGTGTTAGGAAGAAATTCACAGTGCTATGAAGTATATGACAGGGGCAGTCTAACCTAATATTTGGGATCAAGGAAGGTTCTCAAGAGAGTGCTTTCGTGAGTGTAGTGAGGTGAAGTGTGAGGGAAGAGTGAAGTGGGAAATGTTCTAGCCTATGGTAACAGCAGATGTAAAGTCCATGGGACAAATTTCATGTGTTTTTCCTTCATGTTTTATGTTAGCATATTTTTCCAGTAGCCATGTACTGTTTGACTTCTATAGACCCCACCAACTGAGCTCTACTCAAGTCTGAAATGTAGGCAACTTTTAAGGTACTCTGCTTACATTCCTTCTAAGGCAAGCAGTTGGTACAGCCAAACTCCTCAAGTGTTTTCTTCCTAAAAGTTTTATCATTTTAGCTTTGACATTCAGATCTTTGATCCATTTTGAGTTTATTTTTATATGTGGTGTGAGACAGGGTCCAATATCATTCTTTTGTATGTGGTGGATATGCAGTTTCCTCAACACCATTGATCAGAAAGACTACTCTTTCCCCCATTGAATGGTCTTCTCACCCTTGTCAATAATCAGTGGACCATAGATGTATTATGGGTCCTTCTTTGATTCTTGAAATTGGTCACTTGTGTCTTTTATTGAAAAAACTAAACTAACTGCTGGTTTCATTAGATTTCTCTACTTATCTATTTTCCCATTTCATTGATTTCTGCTCCTAACTTGATTTCTGTCCTACTCACATGAGTTTAATTTGTTCCTCTCTTTCTAGTGTCCTAAATAGTGTAATTTTAGATCATTGACTTAGACCTTTTTATTCTTTAATATAAGCATATAAAGCTATAACTTTTTCTCTAAGCACTGTTTTAGCTGCATCCTACAAATTATGATTTGTGTGTTTATTTTTATTCTATTAAACTTTTTAAAGTCTTGTTGTGGTTTCTTTTACTCATGCGTTGTTTAGGTAAGTGAAGTGCTTCGTTTCCAAATATATGGAGATCTTCTAGATGTCTTATACTTATTATTTCTACTTTAATTCTGTTGTGATCAAATAACATAACCTGTAAGATTTCATTCTTCTGACATCTACTGAAACTTGTTTTATGTCCCATCCTATATTCTGTCTTGGTGAATGTTATGTGTGCACTTAGAAAAAAATGTGTATTCTGCAGTTTTGAGGAATAGTGTTCTATAAATATCAGTTAAGTTAAGGTGGTTGGCAGTCTAACTCAGATCATTTCCGTACTATTGTTTGCCTCTTTGTTCTTCCAGTTATCGAGAGCAGAGTGTTAACACCCCCAGTCATGACTGTGGGGCTGTTTATTTCTCCCTTTAGTTCTGTCAGTGTCTGCTGCATGTGTTTTGAAGTTTTACTATCAGGTACATAAACATCTAGAATTTTTATATCTACCTGATGTGTTGATCCTTATATTATTTTGACTTGTCTCCCTGTGCCTTGAACAAAATTTCTTTTCTTGATATCTGTCTTGTCTGAGTTTAATATAGATTTTTATGCTTGCTGTTTGCATAGTCTCTTTCTATCCTTTTACTTCCAGCCTCTTTATAGCTTTGTATTTCAAGTCCATCTCTTGGGGACAGCATATAGTTGGTTCTTGCTGGGGTGCCAGAGCGTTTTTCGCTATGTTCCTGCTCTGTCCTCGGCATGCAGCCTTCCCCGTGCTCCTGCACTTCACAAGGTTTATCTCCACAGCTGTGTTCCTCTCTCCAAGCAGGAGACTGCTTTTGCTTGTTACTTAGCGCTCGCTTGTCTGGTGGTAGAGGGCCAAAGGGAGGGTCCAACCCCACTCTTAAGTAGGCCCCGGGTTCCTGTGTCTCAAGGATGGGCCTTCTCAGTGGTCCTACCCCTCCGCAAGCAGTCAGAGATCTCTCAGGTAGTGGGCCCAGGTTGGTTTCCTGCCCCTACCCCAGGAGCAGCAGGTTTTAATTTTTCCCCTCCCCCAGACGCAGGGCCGTGGGCCTGACAGGGTTTGCTCACCTTCCTCAGAAACTTAAGGCTTTTGTTCTCTAGGGAGAGGGGTGGCAAGGCTTCCTGCCTTTCTGATAGTGGCAGGGGCTCTTCTCCTCCAGGCCTACGCCCCAGGAATGGCTTTCTCCAGTCTTGCTCCCTGGGTCCAGTCTTTTGCGTACAAGTGGCCATGAATTCTCCTCCTCTCTGCAACTCTTGAGAGTTCTCTTCTATTCTAAGAGGCCCACACTTAGCCTTTAGTGGCTCATTAAAATGTTTAGCTCATTTCTTCCTAGTTGCTTGTATTGCACTTGCCATCTCTTCCTCCCATGTTCTGCCACATGGGAGCCAGTGTCCATGGCCCATCGCTCCTTGGAGGTGCCCATCTTTCCTTAGATTCCAGTCCACATGGTTGCCCTAAGACCTTAGCTCTCTGGGAGATGCAAGAAAAGTTATGATGTTATAGTTATTCTTTTTTCTTGTTGTTAGGAGGGGAGCAATACTTTCCTTTTTTTTTAAATTTTATTTATTTGAGAGAGAGAGAGCATGAGGGGGGGAGACAGGCCAAGGGAGAAGGAGAAGCAGGCTCCCCGCTGAGCAGGGAGCCCGATGTGGGGCTCGATACCAGGACCCTGGGATCATGACCTGAGCCGAAGGCAGCCGCTTAACCGACTGAGCCACCCAGGCGTCCCTACTCTTCGTTTTTCTGTATGCTTACTTGAGTTTTTAAATTATATTTTTCTTTATGACAGTTATCACCTAACATATATATCTTTTTCTTTATTGTCAGTTGTCTACTGCCAGAATGTAGGTTTATTTGAGAGTAGGACTTTGTTTTGCTTATAACTATATCCTCATCATCTGGAATAGCACCTGATACATGATAGGTATTCAGTAAGTTTGTTTGATGAACGAATGATGTTTTGATCACATCAAGGAATACTCATGCTACCTGTGTTGAAATTAATATTCAGTTTATTAAAGTTATGAATTTTAAAACCAATTCTGTGTTCAAACAGAACTTAAATGTCTAGAATATCCACTCAGAAATCTAGTTAAGTTTTGTGTCAAAAGTACAATCAATGGGGTGCCTGGGTGGCTCTGTCGATTGAGGGTCCGACTCTTGATTTTGGCTTAGGTCTTGCTCTCAGGGTCCTGAGATCAAGCCCATGTCAGGGAGTGCAGCCTGCTTGAGATTCTCTATCCCGGGGTACCTGGGTGGCTCAGTTGGTTGAGCATCCGAATCGTGATTTCAGCTCAGGTCATGATCTCAGAGTCCTGGGATTGAGCCCTGCATTGGGCTCTACACTCAGCAGGAAGTCTGCTTGAGGATTCTCTCTCTCTCCCCCCTCTCTCTGTCCCTTCCCCAGCTTGTGCGCATGCACATGGTCTCTCTCTCTCAAATAAATAAATAAATCTTAAAAAAAAAAAAGAATTTCTATCTACCTCTCCCTCTGCCCCTCCCCCTGCTCACACACTCTCTCTCCTCTCTCTCTCTAAAAAAAAAACACTTTCATTCAACCTTTAACTAATATTTACTTAGTTCATAAATTTGACAGATTAAGTTGTATTTGCCTTAACCCAATGAAATTGGACAGAAATACTAAGTTGTCATTGGACCCTGAATTTATTATCAGTGGCATTCAACTCACCTTACAGGGATAGGCTAGCGTGATGGCCAGATTTTCCTCACTACCTCAGCCAGAATCCTAAGCCCATATCTTTCAGCTGGGACTTAATTTCACAGAAAATATGACATCCGTGCCATGGGTATCTTTCAACTTTCTATCAGTTTTAATTGTAACTTTCTTCAACTTTTTAGTTGCCTGATTTGGATGGATGGAATTTTGCATCCTGACAAAATTAAATTTAATTCTCCCTCCCCCATTCTGTTGTGAGTGCTTCTTGACCACCTGATTTGCATATAAGAGACTCTGCACCCTCTTTAGCTACCATTTTATAGTTATTTATCAGCACATATTAGACTTCTTTGTAGGTTCATCCTCCTTCCCTCCTTCCCTAGAGTCTAGATAAAAAGTCAGCAAATGTTTTCTATAAAGGGCCAGATAAATACATTACTCTGTCACTACTACTCAGCCGTGTCCTTGTAGCACAGAGGACAATGTGTAAATGGATGAGCACAGCAGTGATCTGATGAAACTGTATTAAACGGACGGGGGGATGGATTTGGCCCACAGGCGTTATCTGCCGACCTTGGTTTTTGTGTGGCCTTCAAGCTAAGACTGATTCTTAGATTTTTAAATGGTTGAAAAAATCAAAAGAAGGATAATCCTTCATGACACATTAAAATGATATCAAATTCAAATTTCAGAGTCCATCACTAAAGTTGTATTGGAAAAGAGCCATCACACTTACGTATGAGCTGCCTCTGGCAGTTTCTGTGCTACAGCAGCACAGTGAGGTAGTGGCAACACAGCCCATGTGGCCAGTGAGGCCCCAAGCGTTTACCGTCTGGTCCTGGACGGAAGACGTGTGCCACGTCCTGGTCCTGGATGGAATGTGCCACGTCCTGGTGTCGGTGAGCAGGTGTGCCAGCTGCTCAAGGCCCATGCCCCGGCCCTCTCCTCTCACTCTGGACTCTCTCCCTGAGATGCCTTCGCATACCCCCTGTCCACGAACGGTGGCTCACAGATTTACAGTTCCAACACAGAACCAGTATCCTGTCTCCCCAGACCAGTGTACCCACTGCCTCCCTGAGTCTCTCCTGGGAGGTCTCAAAGGTACCTCTGAAGTACATGTATCCAAAGTGAATTAATGATCTTCAAATTTGAGGCTCTTCCATTGCCCCGGATCTTAGAGAAGAGCTCCATCACGCCAAAATGTGGCTGTCGTCCTTAACATTTCTCTCTCCTTTACGTCCCTACTCACCACGCATATCTAATCTGTGACCAAATCTGGTCATATGTAGGTCCTCATATTTCTGAAAAGTCACGTATTAGGTCCCCAGGGACCAAGATCTTTCTAGCTTTTGTCTGGCCCTGACTTGCCTCTCTAGCCTCATGTTCTCTCTACTGTTAATCAAAGTGGCCTTCTTTCCGCCCCCCAGCTGGCTTTCCCCCTCCTCGCTGTGAGGCCCTTCTTGCGTGGTTCTCTGCATGGGGCACTTCCTCTCCACACTGGGTGGGGCACGCACTGGGAGCGGCTGCCACACACTTTCAATTCCCAGGGACCTCCCGCAGTAGAAGTCTATTTCTTGCTTTCACAAAATCCACTGTGGGTATTCCAGGTGGGCTGGGGGCCTCCCATGTGATCTTGCAGAGACCCAGCTCCCTTCCAGCTGTGGCTCTGTCCTCCCATAGGGCCTGAAGGGGATTTTACTCGCTCCTCTGCATCTGGCAGGTCGATGTCGGAGCAGGGGAGGGGGGTGAGCAGCGTAGAGGGTCACTCAGGAGGTTTCAAACAGGCTGTGCCCAGAAATGGTCCCTTCTACCCTGTTGCATATGACCTGAGTCACATGAGCACATCTAGTTGCCTGGGAGGCACAAAGACAGTCTGGCTATGTGCCCAGAAAGTAGAGAGAACGGTTTGGGCTAATACAGAGGTTTCTATGCTGTGTGCTCTGTCCCTACCTCCTCACCCTTCAAATCTCAGGGAAGCCTTCCCTATCTCCCTGCGTGGACCAGGGAGATAGGGAAGGACTTCCCACGCCCTCTCTCATGGCGCTGATTACAGCTGCAGAGCTCCCATCCTCCCTGTTACGGCTTCAGTGCCTGTGTCCCCCCAGGCAGCACTCCTTGAGGGCAGGAGTTCTAGCTGTTTTGCTCATTTCCAACCTAGTGCTTGACACATGTTGGCATTCACTAATACTTATCAATTGGATGGGAATAGAAAGATAATGGATAGGTTCATTGCCCAGTGGGCATCTAGTGCTACCCACTGGGGCTCCAGAGGAAGGCAAACTGAAGGGCCCTCCCTCTCGCAGTCCTCGGGCCTTATTGCCTTCCACGGGTCCTGAGTCTAACCCAATAACGTTCAGGGTGCCCAGGCATCTGAAAGGCCACTGCCCCACTCGTGGCCCCTCTGATACTGTTCTGTTGTTAATAGACGCCCTCCCCGAGGATGTTCCAGCCACTCTGCTCAGCAAGGATTGGGTATTATTCGCCCTTCAGAGGTTGGCCTCATGGGGGTAGAGCAGCCTCTGGGCCCCAGACAGCCGGGAGGTCTTCCTTATCATTGGCTTGGCTTATCCCTTAGATGAATGGGTACCCCCTGACTGCCTGCCCCCTGCCCATCCCCAGCTCAGTGCCCAGAACAGGCCTTAACGAAAGAGACCATCAGGAGTGCTGTTGACAGACTGACAGGGTGTGTAGAGGTTGCATTGAGGAAGGTGAAGTGCCAGACAAATTGTATCCTGAAGTCAAAGTCATTGCCCTGCCAAACTTCCATACTCTTTGTGCTTGTTCCTATTTTGTCACCAACATCTCCATTCCTTGGTCTTGGCTACATTTCCAGTGTGGAGAAAACAATTCTTAACTTTCAAATGTGAAACAGTGATGTGGAATTTCAGACAGGATCCTGATCTGTGGGTGTGAGCAGGTGAAATCGCAGGAGCAGACCCTGCCCAGCACTGAGTCCAGTACAGGAGCCTCACGTCCCCGGCCCCACCCCTGCCCTAGCAAGCATGTAGCCCCGCAGTGTGGGGCCTGGCAGCACTTGGGCAGAGGTGGGGCAGTGCCAACCTGAAGCTTTTCCCCGTGTTCCTTACAGATCACAAAGGAAGATGCCATCCTGCCAGTAGCTCTTTTCCCGTCGCTCTGTGAGCTCATCTTTCATAACAATCCTCTGGTGTCCCATACACGAGGTATGGTGCCCACAAACCTGCGCCCCCACCCCGGTGCCCAGGGCCAGTGTGGGCACCCTCAGCCCCACCTCATGGATGCTGAGCCCCTGGGCTCTGCTGTGGGTCATGGGTGAACGTGGTTCATGGTGCATTTGGGGACGGAGAGAACCACAGATGTTGCTGACCACCTGCCGTGTACCAGCTTACCTGACAGCAACCTTGTGAGGCGGGCATCATTGTCCCCGTGCTCAGTGAAGGATGCTGCGGACCAGGGAGGTTCATGATCTACCCAAGGTCCCACAACAAGAAAGAGGCAGAGCTGGGAATGGAACACAGAATTAGCTAGATCCTGCATGAGATCTTTAAGCGACACCTGGCTTTGTAGAGCAGGTCTGTTGTGACCTCATTTCCTACTTCCCAGCTGGGGAGGGGCCTACGAGGGAGGCATAGCCGAGCAGGGGAGGGGGATGAGAAACGTAAAGGGTCATGCATGAGGTTTCAAATGGGCTGTGTCCAGAAATGGGTGCTGCGTCATGGGTACAGCGGGTGCTGCATCAGCGCTATACCTTGAAGGCATCTTAGAATCCTGGGTCCTAGAGTGACACCAGCAGAGTTCTCACCCTTGCTTTGCACTATCCTTGTTGCCTTGGGCAAATTTCTTAACCTCTCTGTGCCTCAGTTTCCTCACCTATTAAATGGGAATAATATAGGTACCTACCTCCCGGGGTTGGTGTGAGAATGATGTATTCATTACATAATAATGATGTATTAATGTAAGTTAATACATGTCTGGCAGTTTGAACAGTGTGGGACACATAGTAAGCCCCCAGTAAATATCTGCTAATAGTAATCTTCCCCATCATGGCTCCAGGGGTCCCTCCACTGCTGAAAAGCTTCCTCCAGGAGCGGCTGGGGATCCACTTGATTAGCAAGAAGATAGTAAAAGCCAAGCATCATATTTTGATGCCTCGGAAGGACTCGAGGAAGGTAAGGCCTGCCAAGCCCGGAGGAAGTGGAGCCTGTTTTACTGCATGTGAACTGACCTGGGGAGAGAGTGCCCTTCCCCACTCATCATGGATTCCTTCTGTTAGGTCTGTGGTACTGGCATTGTCTTCTCCTTTCCGTGTCTGTTACACACAGATAGACCCAGAAGGGACAAGACAGTCAGAGGGACCCAGCTGCCAGAGTAGGGAGAAGCTGTGAAGGTCATGGAATCCTACCCCCAACTTTGACAGAGAAACTGAGGCCCCGAGAAGGAGCTATGGAGAAGTAGGGGAGAAATCAGTCTGAAGACCCGGGGATAAGCCCGGCTTCATCACTTTCCACAGCTGCCTGAAGCTGGGCAAGAGCTTCACTCTCTGAGCTTCAGCTTCTCAACTCCAAGCCTCGCTGAGCTGCTGAGAGGACTGGATGAAGCAACAGATACAAAAATATGTTATAAACCCCCAAATCCATACGTGTGCAAGTTCTAACCACCTGTGGGAGTCATGGATGGCTGCCAGGCCTACAATACACATCTCTTACACATAAGGAAGCATTTCCTTATGTTGAGAGCAGTCTGCCCCCCCAAACCAACCCCAGCCGGTGGTCTTAGACTTACCTTCTGGGATGCCATACAGTATCACAAGGATTGCAGAAATTTCTGTGAAATGCTTCTCCCTCCTGAACTTTAGCCTTCCTATAACTAAAAGCTGGACTGGGCATTCCCCACCCAGCTTACTCCCTTTCTACAGTTCCCTTTCAGTACAGTTAATCTCCTTCTACCCCCTCTGCAGCCTGTCGCTGTCCAGCCAAACTCTAGTCTGGAGCCCTTAGAGGACCAGCACAGAATTAAAAGCCAGAAACAGATAGAAATTCAAAAGGTTTCCATCATCTTCCCCTTGTTTGTTGCCTCCTCTAAGGATTGGAGTATCTCCTTCCCATCAGCCAGCCCGAGAGGGGCACAATCAGAGTGAGCCAAATGCTAAGTACATAATCCTCTGTCCCAGGATGACGGGCTTTCACTAATTAAGGAAGCTGAGAATTTCAACAGGAAAGAAGTTATTTCCTCGGTTCTGAACCCTGAGAGAGATTTGCCTTATGAAACTTCATTTAAGGTATAGGGACCAGCATCCCGAAAGCGGCTTGGTGCTGCGGCCTTCCATAAGGGACAGGACCATCTCCTCCAGGTCTTCCTAGGAGTCCCTGAAGAAAGTCGAGGGCACTGTGTTAAACCTTGATCAGAAGAAGGCTGTTGGGAGCCAGAGTGATATGATCAGGGATGTAGAGTGAGGCAGAAATCAGGCAGTCCGGGCTCTGCCGCCGAATGATCCTGTAACCTCGGACAGTTCATCCTACCTCTCTGAGCCCTGGCTTCCACTTTTATAAAATAAGGAGAATTATTTCCTGGGCAGTTTGAGGTGTAAAGCAACATCTGTCATGTACAGGCACATTGTAGATGCCCAGTCAGTGGGCTTTGGCTCCCTCCCTCCCCCTGTGAGCCCTCATCCAGGACCCTGATCACAGTACCAAGTAGCCTTAGTCCGTGAGGTCCAGAAGGAGAGATTCTGATTAGGAAGCAAACCAATCTAGCCTTTCTCCCATGACAGGTGAAAACCCAAGTCCCAAAGGTGCCAAAGCGGCCTCTGATTCTCCATCACCTCCCTGTGACCACAGTCCAGTCTCCCTCAGAGGAGATCGCAGAGTCCGAGGCCCAGCCGACTAAAGAGCTCTCCGCTGCCGGAAGCAGTATTCTGGAGTCACAGATACCTATCGAGGGCGTGGAGGGCCTTTCCCTGTCCCACCGGACCTTCGTGCCCCTGCCTCCCATCTGCTCTGATTCCACCGTATACAGTGAAGAGACCATGTCCCACCGCAGCAACAGACCTGGCCACCGCAGCCCGGAGCACCTGTCGGACGAGGACACCAGGAGCATGGAGTCCATATTCTTGACCCAGGTGCCTGGTCCCGCCCTTCCCCTGCCTTGTTCCTAGCTCCCAGAGGCTCCTATACAACCTTGGCGTAGGTGGCTTGCGGCGGGCAGCCAGAAGTGAGTCCAAGACAGGTCCGGAAATTAGAAGGAAGCCCCCCGCCCCCCAGCAGGCCCCGCAAGCCCCTCCGGGAGCTCCGCTGAGCCAAGGCTCCTGGTAGGGATACCCATGGAGACAAGTCATGGTCCTGTGGCACAGACAGCATCTGGGGTCTGGCTGGGGCATGGTTCTGACCAGTTTTTTGGAAGGGTTTGCTGCTGCCTCTGCCTATCTGTATGAGGTCACATCACTTCTGATGCTGCCTCTGAATCCTGGGAATACAGATGGCCAAGACGAAGGTCCTGCCTTCGAGATGTCCTCAGTCTGATGGGGGAGTGCAGGAACAATGCATGCAGTCAGTGCCGAGACTAAGGGAAACCCAGGCGCTGGGAGCCTGGGGGAAAGAAGGATCCTCTGCCCAGACCAGGAGGGCTCCTGAAAGAGGTTCTAATGAACTGAGCTTTGCAGGCTGAGTAGGCAGTGACAAGGTGAAAACATGGGCAGAAGGGCATCCTGCGCAGAGCAAACAGCATGAAGCAGGCTACAGAGGACAGAAATTAAAGTGGCATGTGCAGAAACCACAGATGGTTCAGTGTCTGGGCGGCAGACAGGTGACACATAGGAAAAGGGAAATAGGAGGCTGGAGGAGCTGGTAGGGCCCCGCGAGCATTATTATTGTACCACTGCCTTTCCTCAGCTCCCCACCTCCCATCTCACGCCTCCAGTCTGCCAGATCTTTCCAAGATGCACATGTATACATTTATGCCTGACTCCATCCATCCCTTATTCCACAGATGACTTATAGTGACATACACATTTATACGGTATAAAACTGTCTTTATGAACTCTATCAGAACCTTTTAGAACAAAGCAGAGTATAAGTAAATATTTAAAAATGAGCTTGAAAAAAATAAAATGAGCTTGAGAAAGTTGGATGAAAGGAAAATATGGACAGGAAAGGAAATAAGGTCTCTGTCACTCTAACCTGCTCATCTGCCCTGCTGCTCTCGTAACAGAGGTATATTGCCAAAATGCAGTTCTGGGCTTCCTAGGAGCCAAAGAAATACAATCAACTGGGAGTCCCCGTGATGGGAAAAGCTTTTCTTCTCCTTGCCAGATTGCCCAGGCTGTGACCTCCAGTGCAGTGTGGAACAGAAGCAGAAAGAGCAAACATGTTTTATTCCTGATCTCAGGGAGAAAGCTTTCAGTCTTTCACCATTAATTCTGATGTTAGTTATGGGTTTTTCGTAAATGTCCTTTTTTCCTGGTCAAGGAAGTTTCTATCCCTAATTAAGTGGTTTTTGTCAAAAAAAAAGGGGGGGTGTTAGATTTTGCCAAATGCTTTTTCTGTGTGTACTGAAATGATCATGTGTTTTTCGTCCTTTATCTATTGGTGTGTCACATTGATTTCCAGATGTTTAACCAAGCTTGTCTACCTGCAATAAGTCCCACTTGATCATGGTATATAATCCTTTTTATAGGTCGTCAATTTGGTTTGCTAGTATTTTTTGAGGATTTTTGTGTTACTGTTCATAGGGATATTGGTCTGTATTGTCCTTCTGTGATGTCTTTCCCTAGTTTTGGTTTCAGGATAGTAACTGAGAGAGTGAGCTGGGAGTGTTCCCCTTTCTAATTTTTGGAAGAGTTCGTGAAGGATTGGTGTTAATTCTTCTTTAAACGCTTAGTAGAATTCACTTGTGAAGCCATCTGGCCCTTGGCTTTTCTTTGTGAGAACTGTTGAGATCTCTACTTGTTACAGATCTGTTCAGATTTTCTATTTCTTCTTAGCCACAAGCTCTCATGAAGGGTATGAATAACATCCCTACATGAAATACAGGTCTCATAAATATGTTTCTTATAAAACCCTTAGGGTAGGCTAAAAATGTGAGTTCAGACAGTGGTCACTCACCCCCTTAAAACTCCTCTGTGGCTTTGCCATCGCTGTGAGAATAAAGAAAATACAAACAAAAACAAAAGAAACACCCTCAGGTTGGTTTTTAAAAGTCCTTACTGATCTGAGGCCTGCTCACTGCTCCAGCCACCCATCTCTTCACAGTACACCCCAAAAATAACAACTTAGAGTACCCCCAGATCTACCTTGCTGGGTCTTACATGGGTGGCTCAGCCCCTGCTCTTCCTGGCCTGCGGCAAGCCTCTCTCCCCAGCACTTGTAGCCCCTGGGGATGGGGCCATCCTGCTTTGTCAAGACTTCGTGCAGGTTAAGGCCTCACTTCCTCCAGGAAGCTTCCAGGCCCCGCAGGCGGGGTGAGGGCTTCCTGGGCTCACCCAGAACCTTTGTGCTCCCTTCTCCTCTGGTGCTTACCAAGGTGCACAATCACTGTCTGCTTTCACAGCTGCCTCCTCTCACCCGGTCTTGGTTCTTGCCCTTAACGGGGTCCAGGGTGGGGATCTGCACAGAGCTGATGCTTAGACATGTTAATGGAAGCTGGTTTTCTTTTGGGCACAGGTGGGTGAGCTGCCTTCCTCCATCCTCCAGAGGAATGATTCATCCATGAAGGAGGAAGAGCAAAGACCACCCCACACAGCTCCCAGAGAGGTAAAGAGGGCTTGGAGGAAGCTCCCGACTGCCTCCCTCCCCAGCAAGTACCATGGCTACGAGGAGCTGCTGACAGCCAAGCCTGATCCAGCCTTTATTGAGCCAAAGGGTATGTGAGGGGAATGGCTCCAAGACGGGGGCCCTCTCCACAGCCCAGAGCAAGTCAGGGCAAAGCTAAGGCTGGTGGCATGCCTCACTTCCAGACCAGGATGCCGTCCTCTGTCAAAGGGCTCCTGAAGGTGTCCTGGTTTGAAGCCTCCCATATCAGGACCCCTGGCCTGGGCCTTCAGTGGACTTTGAGGCACCACGGCTGTTCTGAGATTCCAGCCAGTCTAGGCCTGGCTGCTCTGGTTGGAAAAGTGTCTCCAGGAAGGGTCTGATGAACAGCTACCCAGACTGGCCAGATTCCTGAGCTCCTTCCCAGCCCAGCTGAGCTCCAGATTGAACATCCCCAGTCCTCTCTCTGTGGTTTAAGGCAAGGGGGGCAGTGCTCCCTCCGAGCCCCTGATTTCAGACTGATGTGTTAACAGCACTTGTGCTTTCAAAGGAACTGGCACTCAGCTGTGCTCTCTCGGGGGTCAGTCCCTGCAGTGTAACCCACTGTGTTTAATGGGGTTACACTGGGGTCAGTCCCTTTCCCCATTCTAGTGCTACTTTTCCATTAGGATCCGTGCACCCAGGGGACGAGTATTCACTGAATGAATGATGGAGGTTCTGGCACCGCAGCAGATCAGGGAGAGATGGGGGCAGTGTGTTCCTCTTGGGGCCTCTCAAATCCTTTCACCCAGGGCTGCTGGGGCATGAGAAAACTGGGGGAGGCATCCAGCAGATGGAGGAAGAGTACCTCGCCCCAACCCTTGCCTTTCTGCCTTAGGCATCCAGAAGAATGCACAGGCCCTGCAGCGCATGCTGAAGTGCCCCCTGCCGTGCTGCTCTTCCAAGCCCAGGCTGGGCGCGCTTCAGAAACACTCCGTTCCCAAGGAGAAACGGGTACACGGGTCAACGCCACCTGGTTGCGTGTGTGAGTGGCTCCTCGGGAGCCCCCAGGTAGAGCTGTGGCTGTCACCTCACGGCCTTCTGAGGGCTGTGCTTTCCCAGTGCCCCCAGGTGCTCTCCTGCATGTTGCTGCGTCTGTATGAGGTGAGGCCAGGAGAGGCTGAGCACCGGACTGGGGTGACGGGCTCCTCTTACCTTGCGTCAGGCCCAGAGGATGCCCGTTCCACCGCCACGGAAGACTCGAGCCCAGCTGCTGGATGACCTCCTCGTCCGCATGCGGGATCCCCAGAACGTTACAGAGGCTCCACTAGGTACAGTTCTGCCCGTCCCCGTCCCCGTCCTCAGCGGCCAGAACCCGAGACAGAGAGAAGTTTGCTCATCTGCCGGGAGGAGGCGGAGGGCCCTTGGCGTCTGCCCCCCGCCTGCCCCCGCTGCAGACGGAGAAGCTGAGGCCTGCCTGGAGCGAGGCAGGGAGTTGCCTAGAGTCACACAGCATGTTACAGACCACAGCTAAGGCCTGAGGTAGAATCGACTGGCTTCTTACGGCCCAGAGCTAGGGAGGCCGTTCTCAGTCCCCATAGCATCCTCCTTTCACTCCGTCCCACTTTTTGGGGGTGGGGGTGCTCTGGATGCAGTCCCCACTGCTTTGGGCTAGAGGGGGCCCCAGAGCGAGTTTGGTGCCCCTCGGGCTTCTCTCCCTGCAGGAGCTGTCCTGCACCAGCGGACTGAGCGGCGGCTGGTGAACCAGAAGCAATACCTGGAGGCCAAGCGGCTGCTGAAGGAGTTCCAGGCCCGCTACCGGCAGCTGGTGCGCTGCTCACTGCGGACGGTGTTCAGGGCCACAGCGCCGCCCCCAGGCCGCCCAGCGCTGAGTGAGGGCCAGCCTAGGTTCGGCCGCTTCCTTGAGTTCATGGATGAGTTCTGCCAGGGGCCCATGGCCAGCGACTCGAAAAGCTAAGGGCTGTGCACAGGGCCATATGCACTGCCCCGCCTGTGCCCAACACCCTCCCAGGGCTCCGTGCCCTGGACCGTGCCTTGGGGCCAGGTGGGCCAGGTGCAGGCCTCAGACCTCGGCTTGGCCTTGCCTGCTGGCCCACAGAGAGTGGGGAACTGGTCAGGACCTCCCCTCCCTAGGCTGGGCAGGACCCAGCACCTGGCCTGGCAGCAATAAAGAGTAGGTGCATAGAGCAAGGTAGCCTGCATGTTTTCTTGTAGATCGGGCCCACCTCCCGGGCCAGACAAGGATCCCGGCTGATGCACACATCCTTTGGGAAACCTGCCTGAGTTGCACCTGTCCAACAGAGCTGTGATGAGCACTGGGATGGAAAACAAGGGGGTTGATGGAACAGAAAAGCAGCACAGACTCTAAAGCTCAGGGAAGTGAACTAACCCATCCACAGCCAACAAAGTGTGCATGTTGCTGGGGTAGGGGGCAAAACTGAGTCCTCCAGGCCCCAGAAAGGGGGCTTTATTTTGTTGGGCAGCTTTTCCCATGATGACGGCAAATGGAGAGGAGGGAGGAGAGAAGATCAGGAATTTCCTTATCAGATGGCGATGGCCACAAAGTTGTGACAGGCTGAGGGGAGGGCTTGCATGGTTTCCTAAGGTCCTCTGATCCGGGATACCAGCTGAGGTCCCATATGCAAACACTGTGGCTCAGGAACGGATCCTGGGGCTGTACAAGGTCAGCCTGGGCTCTGGTTCTGGCCAAGGCAGCCTGTCGGGTTGCCCCATTTTGTGACTGTCCAAGAAACAGCACCTGCTACAGAGATGGATCTAGAGAAGGCCACTGGGACTGAATTCCAGAGATGCACATTTGGGAATGGTCTCCCTCTGCTCCTAAGGCTACTCTCCTGGGGGTATCTAGCATTCAGACCTGGGCGGCAGGCATGCAGTTCCCAGGGCCCAGGAGTCAGTGGCACAAGGATTAAGGATCCTCAGCAAGGCGCAAACTCCTCCAACTTCAGTTGCCATTAAGGTGATCTTTGAGCTAGAATCTTGCCTTGCAGCCATGGGTCTGACAGAAGCCTGGTGGCGTGTCTGCTCATTGCGAGTGTGAGGCTATTAGGGCACAGAAATAACTGCTCATTCTCCTACTTGGCCACGCAGTCTCCCACATGTGGCCAGTGTCCTATTTACAGCCAGCTGCGGTCATACCAGATGCACACATCTGCATTCCCAGAAGTCACACACACAGCCACACGGCCGCACATGTAGTTACAGTGTCAGTTACATCACAGTGACACAGGCACCCGGACGGGTACAAGTGGTACAGGCTTACGTGGCAGTGACACTCGCAGGCAGGGTGTGTTGCTGACTCACCACTTGGATCTCCTGGGGCCCCAAACCACCTTTTCCCTAACATTAGGAGGAGAATCCGCCCCAACGGTGACCCTGTAAGCCATGCTGGGCTCTAGGCCTAGAGAACTGGATTGCACTTTGCAGCCAGAAACACTTACCAACCATAGGCTCTCTGGCCTGAAAGGCTCCTGGGAACATCCTATCCCAGCCTCGAGACCGGAAGCCTCTTGCAGTCCCCCTAACCGATCGTTCAGCTCCTGCTTGCACCCCTGGTGACAGGGAACTCACTCCCTCCAAAGGCTGTCCCGTCCTTTGTTGGTAAAGCTACCAGGCAGTTCTAGCCACTGGGCTGAGCTGTCTGCCTAAGTCCCTCGGTACACCTAGCGCTGCTGTTTGCTCAGGAGCATATTGGCTCCCTCCGCCAGGCCAGGCCAGAGCCCAACACCAACGTGAGAACATCCCGGAGAGGCGACACCTATCTGGGCCAAACGCTCTTTAACTTTCTCAGTTATTCCACATAAGATAGCATCTGAATAAATTAGTTCCTCTCCTAGTGCCTGTTTGAAGTGCGAGGCAGGGTCTCACACCGTCTACCCATCCGCCCTCCTGCGCAGGCGAATTGCTGCATCTCTGGAAGCCATACGAGCATTTTCCAATTGTGTCCATTCTTTTCTATTTCCGGAGTGATCTGGACTTAATCACATTACCAGGGTTTGATTTTTAACCCTCTTATTTGCTATATGATAAAGGGCAGGTCATTTAACCTTACCCACAGCGACAATGGGGTTTGCAATCTCTGTGGGTCCTTCTGGTGTTAAAAGCACACTTTGAGGGCTCTTGTGTGAGATTTCAGTTGCTTGGTTTCCTGAGTTTTGTCCTTTTTTGAAGAGACACGAACTAGTCCTCATCTCAATGAGTAAAGAAAGAGCCTCTGACTAGAATTGTCAAATGAACATGAATTCATAACTAATCAGGAAAGCCTTTTGGGCGGCATCTGCCCTCCCTGCTGCCGGCACACTCTCCCCAGCACATCTGCCACTAGAGGCTTCGACCCCCTGGGCTGCTTTCACCCAGCACTCCCCTCCCTTCTTCATAAGCAGATGGGAAGCTGGCTGCCACACTCTTCTGAGCTTTCTCCAACCTTCTAGTGAGCAAACCAGAAGAAATGATTTCTCCCACCACTAGTTCTCCAAAACTAGGTAGGGCCATCCTGTTCTCCTAGCCACTTATCCAAGATGCCAGTAAGTCCCTGGGAGCTGGATATGGCCACAGGAGAGGAAACTGAGAACTGATTTAGATGCAGACTGTGTCTCATGATGCTTGCGCTGCAGGATACCTCCCACCCCTATGGTGGGTGCAGAGGGAAGATTCTGGTCTCTGTATCCCTGGCAGGCCCAGTCCAGAAGATCCAACCCGAAAGCAACTGGAACCTTAAGAGTTAGCCAAGACCAGAGTAGGAGGATGGCAGCACCCTGAGTTGACTGAGCTAGGGCAACGGGAAAAGCAATCAATGGCTTTGCAGTCAGAGGACTCAACTTCCAGGCTATGTTAGGGCCAGAGTTTCCCATCTGTAAATGAGGGCACCCCCTTCACCACACCAGGCTATCGGAATCCATGAGTGCAACATGTAGGACATTTTCTGTTACCCTAGAGGCCAAAGAACAATCATATTCTGTTCATATACCTCCAAGCAGCTGCCTTGTTTCTTGCAAATCATTTTAAAGACAGTCTTTTGGAAGAGTCTTGGGCCAGATTTCAAAGGTCCCTTAAGTGCTGGTTTACCATGTATGGCATGTCTTGCATCAGTCCTTCAAATTGTTTTTACACATTTAGATGGGACAGTGATACATTTGTTCTGTGTTTGATGAGAAACGGACACCAAAGGGATTTTGATGAATTCTTGAGCAGTGCTTCCAAAGCCAAAATCAGATGTTTTCAGTATAGCCCCAATATGCAAGGATAGTCTCATCCTGTACATCCGTTCTTTTCTCAGACTCTTGTGCCTTCATTAGGAGTCAGAACGGTTGAATAGACCATTCTTGACTTAGACCTCAGACACAGCACACCATGGAAACCCCATCTCGCCCCCTAATTTCTCCCACCATTCTGAATGCCAAAACAAGACATTCCAAAGTGGGGCATCTCCCAGAGCAAAGACAGCTCCAAAAATCAAACACACCTAGTCTCAGCCCAGATTTGCCTGCGATTGCGCTCTAGAGGTTAAGACTTTGACTAGAAACAGAATATTCACTTTCATGAGTTTGCTTTACTATGTGCTCAACTTGGGCCTCTCCTCAAGCAGGCAAACACACACTGAAGAATGCACTCTGGTACTGTTTAAACAAACAACACATCGTCCCGTTTGATTCTGTGCCATTTCTTTGTTGGCAGAAGCATCCCTGACAGGGCCTGCCCTGTTCTGGGTCTTTCTTTGTCAAGATGCTGTTGGTGATGAGTTGGAGAGGAGGCAGTCCACAAGGATCCAGGCCCCGTCTCCAATTCTAATGTAGACAGCAGGTTGGAAACCAATATACATCCCATTTTCTGCTTCTAGGTGAGAAGAGGAAAGGTCCTAAGGACAACCGTGTGTGTAGAAATTGAGAGTAAACAGCACATCAGGAGAAACAAAAACAAAACCATTAGGTGGCATTTAAGATAATTTTTTCCCTCGACTAGTTCTCCATTCTCTCCTTAGGAGTTTAAGTGTTCTGCTGCAGGCAAAGGGCTGGACCCACCGACGGAGGGAGGGGCCCTGCTCCCATTGGTGGCATAGTTGGAGTGGAGGGCACAGGACCACCCAGGGAGACTCGGACTGCTGCCCTCCAGACCCAGGGCCCAAACAGCTACTCTTCAGCTCTAACAGCTTGATCTTTGAGGAGCGCATTGCCTGTTTTTACCGATGACGTGAGAGGGAAGAAGACGAATAAGCCTGGCCTTAGCTCGGCTTTGTCCAACTAGTTGATAGAAGACCCCAGAAAAGGCAGAGAGGGAGCCTGCCACCCTTATTAACAAGACAGTAAGGAAGCATTTACTCACAAAGCGAAGTGTGTAAATATTTTTCTTAGGAAGAATAAAAATACTGATCATACATAGAACAATGTGCACATTCAGTCTTGGCACTTTTTCTTCAATTTAACCAATGTCTAAGCTGGTCATGACTTCTGCTTATGTCTCTTTTCTCTGTAGAACAATCTTTTTCAGAAAGTTACAGTGGATAACAATTATGTGAAAGATGCATTTTCTGTATCGTCTTTGGAGGAAAAGCTATTCAGCAGCAGCTTTTCCTAGAATCTCGACTCCCCCCCCCCGAAAAAAATACCTGTGTCACTGATTCACAAGAATTTATAAGCAACTATGCTTACTTCTAAAAACCAGGCCAAAAGACCACTCTATAGGTTGATGGGGAAAAGGCTGGCTGAGAAAGATTTAAGTCCCTAAGGAGTTCTTGATTTTTCAAAGAAAAATGAAGGGCTGGCTGGGTTTTAACCCTTTGTGGTTAAAATGATGACTATTCCAATCAAAAAATATATCACTTCCCAAGACTCCATATTCACATTAGTCACATTGTGGGGTTTTCCCTATCTGGGTGTGTGTTCAGGGGATATAGGTATATTTTAATTCTAACAAAAAATTTGAAAGAAAAAGCTATTAAAACAAAAAGCCTCCTGTATCATTTGGGTGTCCTCATTAGCAAATTGTGTGTGTGTGTGTGTGTAATTTAAACGGACTATTTAGATCCTAGGAGACTACAGTATAAAATAGGGCATAGGACACTGGACCTCACGTTCCTTATTTCTTAGGAAAAAATGGGCAGCAGGTAGGAAAAATTTGATCTGAATGATTTCCATGTCCTTTCGAGCTATAGCATTTTATGATTATAATCCAGCCCTCAATTTTTCTTTCTTTCCTCTCCTGCTGGTTTTCCATCTCAGTGAAAAGCCAGGCAGAAAAAAGGAAGAGGAATCCAAAGTTGCTACCAGCTGTGGTGAGAGGTCTGGTTTGGAAAGAGGTGAGGAGGTCAGGGAGTTGGGATGTGGGCCTCCTCTGACCATGTCAATGATCCACACCCTGCCTCACTTCCTGGCGCTGATGTAAAAGCTCTCCTGAAGAGATTATTGTCCTGTGTCATTGGAGGAGAAAATTCATTCTCCTCTGGTAAAATTACTTAGGAAATGGAAAGCAGTGTTGCAATCAAATTCAGAAATACTGATGGGAGGGGTCTAAAATGTTCAACGCAGCCTGCCAGATGCTGGACAGTGTCTTAAATGGGGCCATCCAAGATGGTCACTATGAAGAAGCAGAACTCCAGCCACACAGACATTCAAATACATTCCATTAGAGACTGAGCTCCTCAAGAGCAGGGACTGTCCTTTCCATCCTGTATCTCCACGACCCAGTACAGGGTTGGCACAAGTTCGAAGCTCAGGAATGTCTGTTAAATGGAACAGAAAGGGCGAACAGCACAGCCTTCGGTCATCAGTTTCACCAGTCAAGCACAGTGGCAGCTTCCCATCTTAGTCAGTTTGTCACTTTGTAATCAGACAGCAATTAATTAAGCAGCTTTAATCTCTTAAGGGCATTTTTCTTTTAGGGAAAATGAACAAAAACAAAAACAAAAAAACCACCCAAAACCAAGAAAACCAGAAGGCATTCATCACCAGTTCTTCCTCGAGACAAAAATCTAAAACTTAAATTAAAAAAGTAAGAAATGAAGCCACTTACAAAAGGTTTTCCTGGGAAGCTTCAGCCATGATGAATTAACCTTTTAAAAAGAGGCAATTATATGAAAGGGTCCAAGGGCTGGGTGCTTAATCCCCTGATTTGACACCGACCCAACAGGCCCGGATGACTCCTTCCAGCAGATACAATCAATAGGTCACGAATATGTTGCCAAAGATCTTCCCCACTCTATGGAAAAGGGCTGAGAGCCCCCTTCTCAGGGCACCACAGAATGACCTTCTTCCTCCAACCTCTCCTAACTTCCCCTTTAATAAAAAAAAAAAAACAAAAAACAAAAACCACACACACAGAGAATGCATATACACAAGGAGCAGAGCTCGTAGGACATGGGAAATTTGTATGGTGAATCAGATTCCAATGATTTGTGAGAAATGTCTCTTTTGTGAAATAGCGTCTCTCTCGTTCTCCCTCACCAACCCTCCCCATCACTGTTTTCCCTTCCTGTCTTTCTCTTTCTCCAAATAATTCATGTCAACAATGCCATTTGTGATAAACTTCACAAGCAAGCAAGCAACAGGACACAGACGTTTTTCAGAAGGAGAAAGTGTTCAGGTGTTAGTTAAGTATGGGAAGCATCTTAAAATACAGATAATACCTTAGTGGTTTTTTCCTCCTCCAAAGCCAAGCAGATGAGAGGGTAAGCCCTGTCGCTCCTTAACCTAAACTGCTTTGCCTCCACAGCAAGGACTACTGCTTGGCCGGAAGTCTGCAGAACAACTGTCAGGGTCCCTCTAGACACAACAGGAGGTGCAAGCGGGAAAGTCAGCAAGCTGGATCCAGCATTTGCAACACTCACTTCACAGGAGGGAGCTTTGCGCTCTGCACCCGAACCTAAAATTCCTTGCTACTGCTATGCAACTCCTTAAAACAAAAGTATGACTTTGGGGAAATATTTAAAATATATATCTTTTTCTATTAAAAATATTTATCTTTTCTTCAAAACCAAAAACCAGTTCCAACTGAAACGTGTTTTTTAAATGACTGGAGACCTAGACAAAAGATGGCAAGTGGGAAAAAGAAGCTTCTTTGCTACCACCGAGCGGACGAGCCTCCCGGGGATGTTCGCTCAGACCAACGAGCAGCTCTAGGAAACGGCAGGAACTTGGGCTTTCTCTAAGGGCCTTCGGTGAGTCACCCTCCCCTTCCTCCACAGACCAGCACCGGCTCTGCTATCCTGGGGACCGACCGTCCAGCAGCCTGTGGAAGCCTGTGTGGCTGGCAGGGCCTGGAACCGAAGTGGTGTGAATAGAGAGGGATGGGACGGATGCATGTGTTTTAAACACACATCTGCACGTGTGCACACAGAACACAGAACACATACATTCAAGTGAGGGACCCTCCCACCAAAGCAGTCACCGAGGAGGTTCCACATATCTCAATGCGGACCAAAATGCTTACGACATCCCTGGAACTTCTCCCCGGGAGCTGTTCCTGAGCAGCACGAGGAAATGGCCCAATATGCCAACTAACAACTGCTTGACAGCTACAGCTTGTTTGTAACTCTGAACCCCTCTGGCCCGACCTTCTCTTCTAGAGGCTTCAAACAGCTTCTGACTAGTTTCAGACTTAAAATTCTCCCTCCTGTAACCACAAAAGAGTAAAGATCTGCCCCGAGAAGAGGGGGCAAAATTCTCCTGAGAGGAATCAAAAGAAGGTGATACGGTAAATCCCTAGTGATCAGGTGAGTCACCGTTCTGGATCTTAGTTTCTGCCTTAGTAAGAGGAGGAGGCTGGAAAAGATGACCATTAAGGTCCCTTCCAATTCTAACATTTTAGGAGTCTATACTTCTAGATGTTTCTAGATGTTGAGGACAGTTCCAGAAATGTTTTTGCCAATGGCAACATCATTGGAAAATCTATGCAGTATCCTGCTGGAGCCACTCAAGGGGGACAACGTACACTGGGACATATAAGCTCTAAAACCTTTGTTGAAATGCCAGTCACATGACTTTAGAGTAACAGCTCGTACATGCACAGGGAATGCCAGCCCATCTGAGATTCCCTAAAATCATCTCTTAATCCCTATTCTCAATGAGCCCAGACGGGCAGAAGCACCAAGCACCACCAGGGATGCAAAAGACACATGGTGTCAGCTCCTAAGGAAATTAAACCCCAAAGGTCCATGGGACTGAATTTACCAGCTGCATCCAGCTAGATACCTTGTTTCCATAGTATGGAGTTTCAGCATTGCTCTTGCCTGACTTCTGGGCAAATTTTTGGGATTTTAGATCAACGTTGCAGATAACCCTTGGACATGTGGAGAGTAATAACGAAGTTCAACTGTAATTTGTCTCACAGGGCGGAAGCCCCCTCCACCCCATAGAAAACAGAAGGCTGTAAACTGTAAAGGTGGTGGTCGGGGGGGAGCAGGGTGGATAACCGCATAGTATTTATTTATAGTTCCCATCGATCTCAATTATCTGCCTATGGATTTTACACAATCAGTATTCAAATGCTCAGCCAGCTTTCCCTGGGCTCCCGTGCGTGGCATGCCCTTGGGTTGCTGTCCATTACGGCAACCTGTTCAACCTGTTAGTGTGGAAAATCTCTGGGATCTGTTGTCAGGAGCCCCAACAGTCAGTCTGGGCTACGCCACTTAGTGAATGACAGGACCTGAACGTCCGCCCTGCAGTTCCATCATCATTGAAAACAGCGCTGATACCACTTACATGTTAGCGCTCCTGGGAAGACCAAACTGAACACTGACCATGAAGGTGGTCTGTCGACTAGACAGCACATTAATCCGATGTTACTTTTTACACAGGGAAGGTAAATTAACTTTTGTAGGAGGGTAAACTCAACTGATTTCATTAGGTATATTTACTTGTGGCGCAAGTAAGAAGGGGGAACATGATCTTCTTGGATCTGCCAAAGAGTGACATTGACCCACTTCTCTGAGAAAGTGGGAACTCCCTTTTATCTGCAAGGCTGATTTAAAATAAGACCCTGGTGAAAGAAGTCAGGAGGTCTGTCAGTTTCAGAAGGTATCCTCCGTCTCCTCTACCATCTCTAACTCTGGCCCCTGTGCTCCTGAATCTCATTCCAAGTGGGTGCTGCCAGATTTGGCCCAGAAGCCCTCAGGGGTGGGTCACTTAGGGGTGAGGAGTGCTTCTGGCCGTGGTCACTGGGAGGCAGAGACACAGGGCCCTTGGACAGAGACCACAAAGGCCCTGGAACCTCTCAGAACCATAGCAGACAGTGTTTTGCCATGAAAAGAAACCCAAAGTGAGAACACTCAGCTCTTCAAGATAAATGATCAGGCCCACAGACCTCTTAAAAACAGGCCACATGTTCCTGGGGCGCTACTTGGCCCCAGCCACGTTGCTGGACCGTAGGAGATACTGATCCATGCTCCCTTTCCGCCGACTCCCGGTCCGCCTCTCGTTGTCGAACATGCGCTGCAGCTGCAGAGCCAGCCGCCGGTCCTCCTCCTCCTGCTGCAGCTTCTGCTCCATCTCCCGCATGCCTGGGGCCCGGGAGGCCGGGCCCGCCTCCCCACCGCTTTGCCGCAGCTTCTTAAGGGAGCCGTTTTGTTCCAAGTGCTTGGTCTTACAGTGCCTTTTCCGGCCCCGGCGCAAGGAAGGAAGGGGCTCCTCACCTAGGCTGTCCGCCAGCACACCATTGGGCAGATCAAAATGATTTGCCGTCTTCAGCTGCTTCTTTGTTTTGAGGACCCCCCCCAGAACACTATTTTTGGGCAGCACTGAATTAGCCACTGGGATGTTCACGGTTGTGCTCATACAGGTTTTGTCTAACTTGGCCTCTGGGGTAGGCCCCGGCCCTTCCTCCTGCTCTCTCTCCAAAGAAGTCCCACTGGCTCCCACTCGGGGTTCTGAAGAGCAGCACGTTTCCGATGGGATCTCAGAGCTCCTTTTACTCTCGCTGTCCTGTTCGGCTTTAGTTTGGCTAATGGAGGGGACATAATCGAGGTCGGTGGGGGTGGGTCCGGCCCACTCAGAGAGGGCCTGGCCCCCGGCCAGTCTCGCCTGTAAAGTCAGAGGTGGCTTTTCTTTGCTAGAATGGGTCACCTCAGACACTACTAAGTCTTCCCCTGTTTCTGGAGCCAGGGAGGTGAGGGTGGCTTTCGAAAGGGTCTTTTTGATCTGCCGCTCCTGAAAGATCTGTTCCCACTTTTTGAGGATCCTTGGACTAGCCTCGTAAGAAGTCTGCTTCTGCAGGCTTCTGTTGAGGTTGCGGGGTGTTGATTTGATGATGAGGGGACTGAGCACTCGGCCATCGGGGAGTCTCTTGGGAGGAGTACACGGTGAGCAGACAATGGGCTTGAAATGGTTTAGTTCCTCGGAGATGCTATCATTGCTCTCCGGACTGATGGAGCGTTCTGGCTTATGCAGAGAAGCCAAGGATGAGAGGGAGCTGAAGGGGAGACGTTTTTCCACCGTTAAGTCAGGGGCTGAGAGGCAACGATTGTTCTGGGTGGACAGGAGGACGCCGATGATGGGGTTGGAGGCTGGGGTCATAGCCGTAACCTAAAAGAGGTTAAAAAGATTCTATAGACATACATATAGACATATTTTTTTCTCTTCACAGTTCCTTCAAGATGGTAGAAGGACAGCAGGGGAAGGCTAAGAAAAGGGATCAAGGGTGATGGGAGCCTAAGAAATGGGAAAATCCCTAACCTAGAATGCATACCATCTGCAGAAATTCCTACACACCTGAAACAATTAATAAAATTGAAAACCTATAGGGAATAAGACTGATAAATCACTGAACTCTACCTCTGAAACTAATAACACACTACATGTTAATTAATTGAATTTAAGTTTAAAAGAAAGAGAAAGAATAGGAAGGGAACAGAAGGGAAAAGGAAAGGAAAGGGAAAGGGGAAGGGGAAGGGAAGGGAAGGGAAGGGGAAGGGAAGGGAAGGGAAGGGAAGGGAAGGGAAGGGAAGGGAAGGGAAGGGAAGGGAAGGGAAGGAAAACCTCTAGGGAAAAAAAACTCATCTAGAACTTTCAAAGAAGTTCTTCTTCTGGTCCTCATTCCACCCTTCGCTACTAATTCAAACTCTCTTCCTTCACATCTATTTGCAAACTTCTCCAACATAATTAGAATGCCTAGGACCCACTGTGCCTCCGCCCATCTGGAATAAATCCTTTCATGGCCGTGTGCAGGGAGCCACCGGATGGGAGCGGAGGGCTCCAGAAGCCCGTGTCTGAGGTGTACCTTGGTTTTGCTGGTCGGGGCTGCTCTGAGTCTGCTCTTCACTCTGTCTTGAGCAGTGTCACTGCAGCTCTGACTCCTCTCCACCTTGGAATTTAGGTTCCTAAATAAAGAAGTAAACACAAGTCCAAGAGTCAAAAGTAGCCCATATGCCAACTAAGGAAAAAGAATGACAATCTCTTCTGTGCTTTCAAAGCCACCTGCCAAGAAAGATGATTCCCCTGGGCAGCTACAATAGGAAATGAATTAGTTTATTAACAAAACTCGTTCTAAAAACAAATCCTGTCAAAAGAGGAAAAGCCCTCCAGAGAGGACATTTGGTTTCGCTCATGCTTAGAGAGATGTAGGGATAATTCACCTTCTTTAATAGGTTGGATCCCATGTTAAAATCACCTTTACAAACAACAAATTTTTTCCTTTTATTAGGCCCAAATGTCTCCTCAAGCAATCTAAGTCAGCCATGAAACAAAAGGACTTCTGAAATACATAGCAGTGCACTCAATTTTTACATAGGGAGTCAAAATTAAATGCAGTCTCTTCCTTAACTCATTACATTTGAGTTTCCAAAGGCCTAAATCCTGGTAATTTAAGAGATTTCAAGACAAACATGTTTTTTTTGTTTATGCATGCAACATTTTAACTTTATAACCCAATCGAAACCCACAGTACCCATATGATAACATTAATCTTACTGTGTAAGAATTATATGCAGATGACTGTTACCTACCCCATTGACAAGGGGGTCTGTAGGAATTTTTTTTTTTTTGAATTTGTGATTATCTTATTATTCACCTTTGTTTCCTACTCTCCAATTTGTGCCTAACACATGTCCAGTGAGAATGATGCTTTTACCAATGTGTACAGCTGTTACTTTACCTGTGCTGCCACTCTATTCAACAAGCATTTATCATACACTGCCCATATGCCGGTTACCGAGGAGCCCCATCTGGGCACTGGGCATGCAGAGAAAAATGAGATGTAGCTTAGGGTCATCAAGGAATCAGAGTCCAGTGGGGCAGACAAATAAATAATTCAATATAATACAGTGAAATGGTACAATAACAAAGTACGTCTAGGAGACAGAATGGCATAAAAGAGGGAGTTATGAATTACCTGGGATGGAGTGAGAGCAGGGTTGGAAAAGCCTCCCTGTGGCACGTGTACTTTGAAGGGTAAATAAGAACTTGCCAGAAGTCAAGGTGGATGCGGATGATCCCAAGCAGAAATTATTTCCTTGAATGATTCTATTTAGCTTTAGAATGAAATACATCATCATAGCTACTCTTTTGTAGCAAAAGATTTACTTTTTTTGAAGTTTCACTATGCCAGGATTAGCTCAGAAAACTTACAAAGGAGCAAACAAGGTGCATTTCAGGGTGTCTCTCCTCTCCCCACATCTCTAGCAAAGGCCTGTCCTACCTGCCCACAGTGGCTTCTAATCCAGCATTTCTGTGCTATTTTTCCCATTCAAAACCCTCTCATCCTATCTATGTCTCCTGGCCACATCACTTTGCTATATGGTTCCAGTCGGCTGATCTAATCTATGCCACAGTATCAACAGGAGAATATGGTGGCCAACCTGCATCATATGTCTGAACTTTACCAAGAAAATTCAACACTGAACCTAAGCAAATAATGTGAGCATTGTACTATCTAGTGGGAAATGTATTTTGGAATAGTTCAGAAACTTCAACATCACTCTATAAAGGCAGCTGCTTAGAAATCAGCTTGGTTTGTATTTTACCTAGAATAGTATTGAAATTCATTTGCATTCCCAGAACTCACACAAACTGTCAGTGGTGTAAACCACCCAGAAGCAAACTGGATAACAGATTAAAATGCTGGCGTGAACAACATATACTTTGGGTCAGGAAGAATCAACATAGGGCTGAAAGAGAAAGCATTTCTATTTCAAATGTATGACTTGTTTGGCATCATTCCTTGGAGAAACAGTAGACACTTAGAGAAAAAGATTTTCTGATCAACATAAGAAAGAACTTTATAACTTTCATTAGAGCAGTTCACAGATACCTGCCTTGGGAGATACTGAGCTCCATGTCATTAGAGGTGTTCAAACTGAGGCTGGACCTATACTTTAAGGTCCAAATATTCCATAATTAAGAATGAGCTTAATTTAATTTTTAAAAACAGGCTACACATATCCATATTGGCAGCAGGAGCAGAGTCAAGTTTAAAGATGCTGGCTACATGCCCAAATTATCGGATGTACAAATAGCAGTTACCTATTGCTGGGGAGAACCTCTTCTCCTCTCATGCCCCCTAAACTCCATTTTGGAGACATGCAAGGAGAAAGGAAAGGCCCAGAGAGGAAACCTGTACTTGCAGACTCGAGCACACAACAAGGACACCCAAAGTAGTTTCTGACCATTTAAAATCTTTTTGGCAAAACTCGGTATGGCTGACACTGTCACTGTCTCTTCCATTCGCTTGGTCAGCCAACTCTACTGAACACCAACTCCGTGCAAAGCATGAGAGACAGACTGATGAAAGATAATCTTTTTTTTTTTTTTTAAAGATTTTATTTATTTGACAGAGAGAGACACAGCGAGAGAGGGAACACAAGCAGGCGGAGTGGGACAGGGAGAAGCAGGCTCCCTGGGAGCCTGATGCAGGCCTCAATCCCAGGACCCTGGGATCATGACCTGAGCAGAAGGCAGACACTTAACGACTGAGCCACCCAGGCGTCCCTGATGAAAGATAATCTTGACCCACGGGAGCAGCCAGTCACTGAAGTCCACCATACATGTCACAGAAGTGCTCTAAGAGAGCAGTAATTGTACAGCTAAACTCTCCAAGCATTTCCTTCTAAGAGCTGTACAGTTTTAGCCCTTGCATTTAGGTATCTGATCCAATTTGACTTCTCTGTTGTATTTGGTGTGAGGTTGGGGTCCAACTTCATTCTTTATTTAGCATGTGGATAACCAGTTGTGGTCCCAGCACCCGATGTGAAGAGACTATTCTTTCCCCCACTGAATAGAATAGTTTCTTGGTACCCTTATTGAAAATCAACTGACATATGGGTTTATTTCTAGACTCCCAATTCTGTTCCACTGATTGATATATCTACCCCTATTTCAGTATCACACTCTTTTTGTTTTGTTTTGTTTTGTTTTGTTTTAAAGATTTTATTTATTTATTTGAGAGAGAGAATGAGAGAGAGACAGCACGAGAGGGAAGAGGGTCAGAGGGAGAAGCAGACTCCCTGCCGAGCAGGGAGCCCGATGCGGGACTCGATCCAGGGACTCCAGGATCATGACCTGAGCCGAAGGCAGTCGCTTAACCAACTGAGCCACCCAGGCGCCCTCAGTATCACACTCTTGATTGCTTTGCCATAAATTTTGAAATCAGGAAGTGTGAGTCCTCTACTCTTGATCTTTTTCAAGATTGTTTTGGCTGTTTGAGATCCTCTGCAATTCCATATGTGAATTTTAGTATCAGCTTGCTCATTTCTGCAAAAAAGGAGACTGTAATTTTAATAGGTATTGCAGTGAATCTGTAAAACAAGTTGGGGAATATTGCCGTCTTAACAATGTTAAGTCTTCTAATCCATGAACACAGAAGGTCTTTCCCTTCATTTAAGTCTTCTTCAACTATTTCAACAATGTTTTGCAGTTTTCAGTGTATAAGTCTTACACCTCCTTGGTTAAATTTATTCGTAACTATTCCATTCTCTTTGATGCTATTGTAAATGGAACTGCTTTCCTAATTACACTTTCGGATTGCTCATTGCTAATACTATAGAAATGCAACCGATTTTTATGTGGTGATTTATGTCCTGCAACTTTGCTAAATTTATTAGCTTTAGTTTTTTCAAAATTCTATTATTTTTAGGATTTCCTATGAATAATAGCATGTCATCTGTGAACTGAGATAGTTTTACTTCTTCCTTTGCAATCTGGATGCTTTTTCTTTTTTTCCAGCTTTATGAGATATAATTGACACATAATATTGTATACACATAAAGTGTACAATATGTTGTTCTGATATACTCATGTATTTTGAGTAGGGTTAACACCTCCATCACCTCACATAATTACCATTTCTTTTTTGTGGTGAGATCATTTAACTTCCAAGTATACTTGAAAGCAGCTTTCAAGTATATAATACAGTATTGTTAACTGTAATTACCATGCTGCACATAAGATGCCCAGAACTTACAACTGGAAGTTTGAATCCTTTGACCAACATCTCCCCATTTCCTCCACCCTCTGGCAACCATGTTTCTCCTTTCTGTTTTTATTATTTGAATTTTTTAAGATTCCACATGTAAGTGATATCATACAGTGTGCATCTTCTCTCTTATCTCACTTAGCATAATGTCCTCAAGGTCCATCCATGTTGCTGCAAATGGCAGAATTTCCTTCTTTCTCATAGCTGAATAATATTCCACTGTGTGTGTGTGTGTGTGTGTGTGTGTAGATACCACATTTTCCTTATCTATCCATCCACAGAAGGACACTTTGAGTGTTTCCATAGCTTAGCTATTGTGAATAATGTTGCAATTAACATGGGAGTGCATATAGCTCTTGGAGATCCTAATTTCATTCCTTTGGATATATACCCAGTAGTGGGATTGCTGGATCATATGGTAGCTCTATTTTCATTTTTTGAGGAAACTCCATACTGTTTTCCATCCTGACTGTACCAGTTTGCATTCCCACCAGCAGTACACATGGGTTCCCTTTTCTCCACATCCTCACCAACACTTATCTCTTATTCTCTTGAGGATAATAGCCATTCTAACAGGTGTGAGGTAATACCTCACTGTGATTTTGATTTGCATTTCCCTGATGATTAGTGATATTGAGCATCTTTTCATGTACCTGTTGGCCATTTACCTTTTTTTTTTTAAACATTTTATTTGAGAGAGAATGTGAGAGCCCAAGCAGGAGGAGTAGCAAAGGGAGAGGGAGAATCAGGCTCCCTTCTGAGCAGGGAGCTGTATGTGGGGCTCGATCCCAGGACCCTAGGATCACGACCTGAGCTGAAGGTAGACGTTCAACCGGCTGAGCCACCCAGGCGCCCCCTGTTGGCCATGTATGTGTCTTCTTTGGAAAAATGTCGGTTTAGTTCCTCTATTGA